ATCAGAACCATCTCAGGACGGTATCAGTGAGACCGAACGTTTTTTTTTTTGTAGACATTGAAGAAGTATGTTGTGGTCAAGCATATCGCATTGAATCTACGCATCACCACATTGCATTGACTCTACGCCCCACCACTTTGCATTGAATCTACGCACCACCACTTTGCATTGACTCTACGCCCCACCACATTGCATTGAATCTACGCCCCATAACATTGCATTGAATATACGCACCTTAACATTGCATTGAATCTATGCACCACCACATTGCATTGAATCTACGCACCTTATCATTGCATTGAATCTACGCACCTTAGCATTGCATTGAATCTACGCCCCATAACATTGCATTGAATATACGAACCACCACATTGCATTGAATCTACGCACCACCTCATTGCATTGAAACTACGCACCTTAACATTGCATTGAATCTACACCCCATAACATTGCATTGAATCTACGCACCACCACATTGCATTATATCTACGCACCACCACATTCCATTGAATCTACGCACCACCAAATTGCATTGAATCTACGCATCACTACGTTGCATTGAATCTACGCACCATAAATGCAATCATTGCATTGAATCTACGCACCTTAACATTGCATTGAATCTACGCACCTTAACATTGAATTGAATCTACGCCCCATAACATTGCATTGAATCTACGCCCCATAACATTGCATTGAATCTAAGCACCTTACATTGCATTGAATCTACGCACCTTAAAATTGCATTGAATCTACTCACCTTAACATTGCATTGAATCTACGCACCTTAACATTGCATTGAATCTACGCACCTTAACATTGCATTGAATCTACGCACCACCAAATTGCATTGAATCTACGCACCACCACATTGCATTGAATCTACACCCCATAAATGCAATCATTGCATTGAATCTACGCACCTTAACATTGCTTTGAATCTACGCCCCATAACATTGCATTGAATCTAAACACCTTAACATTGCATTGAATCTACGCACCTTAACATTGCATTGAATCTACGCACCCTTAACATTGCATTGAATCTACGCACCACCAAATTGCATTGAATCTACGCACCACCACATTGCATTGAATCTACACCCCATAAATGCAATCATTGCATTGAATTTACGCACCTTAACATTGCTTTGAATCTACGCCCCATAACATTGCATTGAATCTAAACACCTTAACATTGCATTGAATCTACGCACCTTAACATTGCATTGAATCTACGCACCTTAACATTGCATTGAATCTACGCACCTTAACATTGCATTGAATCTACGCACCACCAAATTGCATTGAATCTACGCACCACCACATTGCATTGAATCTACACCCCATAAATGCAATCATTGCATTGAATTTACGCACCTTAACATTGCTTTGAATCTACGCCCCATAACATTGCATTGAATCTAAACACCTTAACATTGCATTGAATCTACTCACCTTAACATTGCATTGAATCTACGCACCTTAACATTGCATTGAATCTACGCACCTTAACATTGCATTGAATCTACGCACCACCAAATTGCATTGAATCTACGCACCACCACATTGCATTGAATCTACACCCCATAAATGCAATCATTGCATTGAATTTACGCACCTTAACATTGCTTTGAATCTACGCCCCATAACATTGCATTGAATCTAAACACCTTAACATTGCATTGAATCTACTCACCTTAACATTGCATTGAATCTACGCACCTTAACATTGCATTGAATCTACGCACCTTAACATTGCATTGAATCTACGCACCACCAAATTGCATTGAATCTACGCACCACCACATTGCATTGAATCTACACCCCATAAATGCAATCATTGCATTGAATTTACGCACCTTAACATTGCTTTGAATCTACGCCCCATAACATTGCATTGAATCTAAACACCTTAACATTGCATTGAATCTACTCACCTTAACATTGCATTGAATCTACGCACCTTAACATTGCATTGAATCTACGCACCTTAACATTGCATTGAATCTACGCACCACCAAATTGCATTGAATCTACGCACCACCACATTGCATTGAATCTACACCCCATAAATGCAATCATTGCATTGAATTTACGCACCTTAACATTGCTTTGAATCTACGCCCCATAACATTGCATTGAATCTAAACACCTTAACATTGCATTGAATCTAAACACCTTAACATTGCATTGAATCTACGCACCTTAACATTGCATTGAATCTACGCACCTTAACATTGCATTGAATCTACGCACCTTAACATTGCATTGAAACTACGCACCACCACATTGCATTGAATCTACGCACCACCAAATTGCATTGAATCTACGAACCACAACATTGCATTTAATCTACGGAATAAAGGAAGTGTAATGAATCTTCTTGAAATCACTACTCTGCCATCAACTCCAATTTGACGACTCCAACAAAGAAAAATACGTCACGTAACACTGGCGAAGGATAAAGAAGAGGTGGAGAGGGGACCCTCTCAGGGTGGCACCTTGGGGAAGGGTGGGGGGTATGCCATTTTGGGTAAACGTCATATACCTACAATATATTGCCGGGTTTGATGTGTATTTTGTATAAATATTTGTTCACGTTAAGTGAAAGGCGACCCAGTCAAATACCGTCCCCCATTGGGGGGGGGGGGTTGCACAAACTTAAGTTACCCCCCTCCCTGTTGTAGTGTAATTATATATCAGATAAAAAGTAGATTCACAACTAAGGCTCTTTATTTTCTTCCTTATCTTTTGTCCATTTTTTGTATAAATATTTGTTCACGTTAAGTGAAAGGCGACCCAGTCAAATACCGTCCCCCATTGGGGGGGGGGGGTTGCACAAACTTAAGTTACCCCACTCCCTGTTGTAGTGTAATTATATATCAGATAAAAAGTAGATTCACAACTAAGGCTCTTTATTTTCTTCCTTATCTTTTGTCCATTTCGAAGCTACGTGGTGGGGGTGGGGGAGTGGGGGTTAAAGGGGAGGTGGGGAGATAAAGGGGAGGGGGAGAGAGAAAATGCCGAGTTTTATCCCAGACCAAATAATCGAGTCTACTACTGTGAATTCAAAGCCCCGCACCTGACATTTACCGATCAAATGAAGCGACGCCAGACCGCGAACTTCGTTTTTTATGATTGGCTCTGACCGTAAGGGTGACTTCCGACCTCTGGTGCCTTTCTGTTCGTAGTATAAAAGTTATACATGCATCAATCATGCTTGTTTTACTGGACAGCACCAACAAGACTGGAAATTAACAACAAAACTTGACAGCACCAACAAGACTGGACAGCGCCAATAAGACTGGACAGCACAAACAAGACTGGACAGCACAAACAAGACTGGACAGAATCAACAATACTAGACAGCACCAACAAGACTGGAAATGAACAACAAAACTGGACATCACCAACAAGAAGACTGGACAACACCGACAACAAGACTTGACAACACCAACAATACTTGATAATAACAAAACTGGACAGCACCAACAATTTCCATGTTGCATTACTTCACCCTTGGATGCTGATTCGGAGTCGTGGGAATTAGAATCGGGTTTTATTTAGATTCGGGCAGCAGACTCGAGTTTAGCCGAAATCAGGCAGAAGAATCGTCCTCTGCCGTAATCGATCAATCGAATACACTTAAGACGCAATTTTTCCCGGTACCAATAACACGATGATTACTCATTTAAATAATAAAAAGTTGTTGTTTTTTATTAAGGAAAAAATATGTTGTGATTTGTGAGTTTATTTTAATCCCTTGACGTCATACACAGGGATCGGATCAGATGAAATCTGCCAAAATACCCCTTTATCATGTTTATCATGTTTCATTAACTTTCAACGCGTTTCCTAGAATGTTATGGAATAACATAAAAGGATATTTTGTAAGTTTCTAGAATGTTCCAAATTAATTGTCCATTTAGTTTGCCCTAAATACATAAATGAAGATGATGGCTTCAATTACCTTAGACACTTCTACCTGTGTTGATGGATCTTGTCAAAAGCTAGTAAACATTGGGGGGGGGGGGGGGTTTTTTGGGACAAGGGGGGAGGGGTAGGAAAAATTGAGAAATTTGCATGACGTCATTTATGAATGGCCCCAACATACACATACAGCTCTTAGAAAAATATGTGTACATTTTTATGAGATTAATGATATTTCTTTTCCTTTTTTTTTAAAAACAAAATCCTCAGGCCTGTTCCAGATGTGAAGAGATTGTTCTTTAGATATAAGAATTCAGTGTTTTACATTTTTCCTATGATAATATAGTAGAGTAGCAAGTCAAAAGTTTGGTAAAATTTTGATGAAGATACCAATGTATTAAAATCCGTTAAAGTTGCCAAATTAAAAATTAAGGCCATTTTTTACAATTTGTTATATTATAGGCCTATATATTTTTTTGTTTGTTAGTTCAGGGGCCTGAAAAGGCAGGTGGTCTTTATTATTTAGAAGATACAGATTTCTCAAAACTAAATCTGTTGGATCATGTTCGAAAGAAAGTAGCTCCAGGTAACTTTATTTTATCCTGGTAACAACGGACCAGGCCATATCTGCTAGTTACTCCAGTAAAATTATATGAAAAGCAACAAGAGGATAGCATGTGGGCTTTTAAAAAAAAAAAAATCTTTTAAATAATCATCATAATGATGAGTTTCATTTTATTTCACAATTTCAATTTCTAAAAAATACTTCAAAGTAACTTCAACAAAATTTTTAATGCATTTAAAAATCTTTAAATACTTTAAAAAAATCATTAAAAGCAATTAGTAGTGAAAATTTTTCCATCAAGAATACTATAGGCACCACACTTTTTTTTTTGTTGCCCCACCCCATTTTACACTGACCCCACTTTCTTCCCAAACTGGTTGCGATATTTACAGGAACCATTTTTCTTTTTAAAACCCAGATTTCGGCCTTAGCAACACATTTTCCAAGGACGAGTTGATGAAAACGCACTGTGGGTCTCCAGAATATGCAGCACCAGAGCTTTTCACCCCAGGAGAAAAATATGGCCTTGAAATAGACATATGGAGTTTGTGAGTAACAGGATTTCATTTCGATTTGTGTTACCTCTATGTCATATGAATATATGTCCTAATGCTCAAACTAGCAGTGGGTCCAACCAGTATAGAAGATGCCTTTTTTGTGTTTGTGTGTGTGTGTGTCTCACAGTTAGTTGCAGACATGTTGAATGATGGAGGAAATCCCTCAAAGGTAAAAATATTAGGTTGTAGGATTTATATGTTTGGAGGTTCACTGAAATCAAAAGATATTTAACACAGTGGACCAACAACATGAAAAACTTCCAAGTTCTTTAAAGTTATTTCACTTCCTCTATTTTCTACATACCATTCCCCTCTTTCCAGTATTTAATAAAAAAAATTAAGATAATTAGTCATGATTAGTTTGAATGCTTTGAACCTTATTTCCTTCCATGAAAGTAATACAATATATATTTTTAACAAAGATAATGTCCCCAAAAGTATAACCACTAACAACTCTAACCATTCTAACCATCTGTAGGATTGCTTCTTTATTCCTTTCCTTCTTCTCTCTATAGAGGTATTGTGATGTACGCCATGTTGATAGGCAAGCTCCCCTTTACCACGCCTTATACAGATCAGTATCGAAGACAGAAACTTGTGCAGCAAATGGAGAAAGGATTAGTTGAAGTACACAATCAGGAAATGGCCCATCTTTCAGCAGGTGACATTATATCCAATTTTTTTTTTGAGATTGTTGGAGGGGGGGGGGGGGGGGGGTTGTTTGTGTTTTGAAAAAATGTTTGGGTGTTTTGATTTTTTAATATTTTAGTCATGATCACTGCAAAGGAGGATTTCATTTTAATTCCGAATTTGTATGAACAACAATCTTTTAAATTGACCATTGCACTAATTGATTCTAGATTGTCAAGACTTACTTCACAAAATAATAGAACCGTCGCCAAGCCTACGTTTGCCTCTGCTGGACATGGAGATTCATCCATGGGTTACAGAAAATGGAAAGAAGCCATTTTTCCCATTTGGGAGTTTTCCTCGCGATAAAAACATGAAAACACAGGTACATAAACTGTTGACGTCTGTGTGAAACAAATATTAGTGCAGTGTAGTTTGATCTGATGTTGTTTCTTTTATTTCTATATTCATTGTATGTGTAAGATGTGAAGTTCTAGCAAGACTTGTCGACGTCAGAGAGGGGGCTTTGGTGGGTTTGATCAGATCAGTGCATAATTAAATTTGCATTCCACATGATTATCTAAATTACTAAACATGTATACATGTCACATTCTGATGTTATATTATCTATATTATCATATATCATAACATTTTTTTTTTCAAAACATAATTAATAAATAATTTATACAGCTTCTTTCACCAGATAAAGGATCACAATTATTTTTTGGTCACTTAAAGCTTAATTAAAGAATGAAAAGAAACTGATGATTGAACTCTCAACAGATACTTGATGATTTAAGATTGCTGATGAAATAGAAAGTGATGCATGATGGTCCATAGGCCTATGCTACTGTGCTTGAAAAAAATAAATAGTCAAATTTTAATATTATAATGAATGAAAAGAGTAAAAAGCACTCATTGTGATCACCATACCTTTCCATGGCATATAACAGCAACAATTTTGAAAAACATTATGCAACATTTATATTTCCTTCAAACCTTAAGGATCTTCTCTGCATCCAATCTTTATTGTATATATAGAAGACTTTATGAAACTTTATGTGATAGCTGAGATTTTTTTCATTGGCTGTAGAAATAGATTAGCGCATCTGTTGAGAGTTCTTAACTTATGTCTGCATCACAGCTGGAATCTATTGCTATTGATGTTGTACAAACAGTTATTGTCTGTGTGGGTGTGTTCTGGTGTGCAAGATTGTGTTCTGTTGATCAATTGGTTGAATACCTATTAAAAAGTACCTTTTACTTCATTTGCCTAGCAAGTAAAGCTACTTTTATTTTCAATCCTTTTAGTAATTTTACTTGCTAATTTGTACTCATGCTAGCTTTTTTAATTTTTCACTAATTTGAATAAAACCGGCATTTTTATATATCATACTCAATTTTTTTCATTTTACCATAATAAAATTTTTTTACATAATTTACAGCATAAAATTAAATTCTCCAGCACCTCACTAATCTTCTACCAAAAATTTCTCATAATTTTATCTGCAGGAATTTATATTAAAGTTATTTATTAAGTATTTTGTATCATGAGTGCCTTAAAATCATTAGTACAAATATTATAGGCTATAGGGATGATTAATTAATTTTTTTTATTATTTTTATATAATGATTGATAAAATTCTTATCCAGAACATTATCATACAATTACAGAAATTTTGACAGTTATTACCTTATATATGAGCCATCGTAACAAGGTTTTTAGTGGAACAGAATAAAGGACAAATTTTTTTGTATCAAACTGTCTGGTATACAGATTTTACAAAATTAGCTTCAACAATCAAAGAATTAAATTTTGCAGGCAAGATCTAGAAGTTAGATTATGCAATTTCAAAATTATTATTTTTCCCCTGTCTAATTGCACCCAATCTTTATACAAAATAATAAAAAAAATCCCACTACATTTTTGGAAGAAGTATTCTTTTTTAAATACAAGATTTTCTTTCCCATGAACTTTTGAAACATTTTTTTTTTTTTTAGAATTGCATGTTTCAAAAGTTCTTATCTTTACTCAAATAATCATCACATTTACTTTTTATTACTTTTTTTAAAGATTAATTTGAATTGCTTTGCAATCAAGGACACATCTTTATTAATAGACCAAAGAGTGAATGTATGGACCTACTGTCAACCATGTAACCTTAATCAACATTTTAACCTTTGTTAATTATGAAGTATTGTTGCAGCCATTATACTGATCTATTAATCCCCCCCCCCCCCTAAACTGCTTTCTAATAAATTTATTTTTCTGTTGTTTTCATTTCTTTTTAAAATATTATTATTTTGAATGTATGGACCTACTGTCAACCATGTAACCTTAATCAACATTTTAACCTTTGTTAATTATGAAGTATTGTTGCAGCCATTATACTGATCTATTAATCCCCCCCCCCCTAAACTGCTTTCTAATAAATTTATTTTTCTGTTGTTTTCATTTCTTTTTAAAATATTATTATTTGATCTCATTAAGTAAATTTCATTTCCAGGTTTTGTTTCAAACTGCTAGACAATTCATTCTCTACTATTTCTTTTTTTACATCTCAAAGGTGTTTTATTAAAAAAAAGAACATTTTTCATGTTCTAGCAGCATATAAAATTTAACATGAACCAATGTTTAAATTAGCATTTACTTGTTTTTGTTGCTTGAATCACTTCATTACTTCTAATTAATTTCACACTTAAAAGTAACTATAATTGAATACATTTTCCACAAATTTTAATTATAAAAATGTTAATTTCATTAACTGAATAAATTTCAGAAATACTCTGCTGATAAATCGTTTCTTGAAGATTTAAAACTGAAATCTCAGCTTTCATTTCTCTCTGTTATGACACTTTTTAGATATATCACTTCTTCTAATTCTGAGAATAACATATAAGAGTTAATTTTCTTGTTTTCTATCATCATCATCGTCATAACATTTTGTTTGTCGCCCATCCCCATGGCGCTGTATTTCCTGCATAGGTGCAGGATTCCATGACTAGTCTCGAAGAAGATGAGGTAACTCATGCAACTTTTCAAACATCCTGTTTTCTGAGATTCAGTCAAGCTTTCTATTGTTATACATGTCTGCAGTTTAAGAGTTGAAAAAGCCTTTACTGCAATTTACACAAAAAATATATATTAAACATTTCTATAATGTTACAAATAAATTGGATGGTCAACTTAAAATTTATTATACATTTGAAAATCAATTCTAAGGATTCTGACATGAATAAATCTTTAAAAAAGCTTGGACTTAATCTCAAGGCATCATTAGAACTTTGTGTCTGGTATTTGCTTTACTGTAGATCCTAAATAATGTGAAAAACACCAAAATGTTTCTCTTTTTTCTTTTTTTTTTTTGTGTGGAAAATTTCATTTTTCAATAAAAATTATAAAATTGAAGAAAGAAAGACAAAAACCTGCCACGTGGAGAGGATTTGCAGTAAAACAAGCTAAATGTTGAATTTTAATTTACCACTGTTGTCCAGATGTCCTAGGCACATTTCATTGTATTCAGTACTGGCCATCATCTGTTTGTGTCTCCATTTAAAATGTGCTTACAGTACAATGATCAGGTAGTTGGATGCGGATATGGATGTCTGTTCTAGTTGTTGCCACACACAAAATCACATGGTGGGATTTTTTTTAGTCTGTTCAAGCTGTTCTGATTTTTTTTAATTTTTTACATCATTTCCATTTTTCTTTTTCTTAATGAACTTTTTAAAAAAATTCACGTCTGGACGTAAAATAAGCAGTGGATCTCCCATTTTGTGTATGTTTATTTTAAGCCATGAGATATTTCAAATTTGATATGAAACTAATTGCTCAATGTTTACCGCAGCTTTTATTTTTTTATGAGGACATGTTTTGTATAATTTGAGTTTTACAAGTGAAATGCAAGTTAAAATTTCTTTACACACTGTTAATTTGCATAATGATTGTTACTAGTGTTGGATGTTTGGCTGGGGCATCTTGTTTTCATTATGATCTTTATTTTTTTTTAATGCTTGATGAAAAATGCATTGAATTTGATTATTATCTTGCATCTTTTTTTTTTATGACTAATCTTAGAGCTTAAAATTTCATTAACTTAGAAAATTGCTTATTTATTATTTTATTACTGTTTTTTAGTTGTGCATTTATCAAATGTCTATTTTAAATCAAATGTAGCAATACCAAAAAAGCATTCTGGCTGTGCATGATGTAAACAATATAGCTTGAATTTCAAGGCATGTACTAACACCAGCTTTATTTTATAATACATTGCTTTTTAATATAGATCTATAGTTAATTCAAATAACTGTTAACCAATACTTAATTTCAAAACATTTTTTTTTTCAAAATTGCTTATGGAATTTTTTTTTTTTTAACAGTATGTTTGAGTATGTATGTGACTTTGTGCTGTTTTCATTATGTTCCTTAAAAATAATTCATGTCTACCTCATGATATACTAACTTGTAGCATATTGCTTTTTTACCTACATATCTAGTTTTGAGCAACATCTTTAATAACTTATTTAATTTTATCAATAAGCATATTTTAAAACATGTAGAGTTGATAAGCTTGTTGTTTGTGAAGGCATATTATTTTCTAAAAGTTATTTTAAAGAATTTAGTATTCTGTAATTATGATGGGCATAAAGCGTGAGCCTAGGTGGATTAGAAAAAATTCAATAAATAAACAGGTAAGAACTCATAATTTTAACTATCTTCACATTCAAAGTCAATGTCCTAGTCTCATGAGCATTGCAATGTGAAGCACATCTAAATTTTGTTTGAAATTACAGTTGAAAATTGCCTGCTATTACTTGCAAAGAACACTTTAGTTACACAATGAAGCATTTGCCCTTAGAATGACTAATGTTGGATTTTGATTGCATCTTGGGCATGCTCTTTAATACTTTTGACTCCACCCACCCCCACATCAACAAACATGCTCTTTTTTTTTAATATAAAAATGCAATGATGTTTGTGAAGTCTCTGAGAAATAATCACTCATTTTAATAATTGTATATTTTTCCTAATCTGTGTCTCTCCAACTTCCTTTCACTGATTATCTTTTTCTGCATTCAGTTTCATGTTGTTGGGTCTTTTATTATTTTATTTATTTTTTTCGTGGGGAGGAGGGGGGTGCTCCGGTTTTAATGCATCCAACTTTTAGGCACTTAAAATAAACAATACCTTGATATTGTCATTCTACATGAGGAACTGAAATGTACAGAATGAACATGACACTACTTATTATTATAAAGAATTCCTTTCTTGTAAAATAGTATAGAAAACTGATAAATGCTTTTTTTTAATTTCTTAAAATAAAATAAATCCAATGAAATATTTGTAGGAATTATCAATTTTTTGTGTGTTTCTCTGCTTGTCTTAAATTTTTTACAATGTTCTTAATATAAGTCTTAAGTCATCAACCTATAAGTTACAAAATTCATAGATATTGCCAAGATAAAAGAAAAGGTACTTCTTGTTAAGGTCTAGAGATTATGTACAGAATAATGATTTTATTTTCAGACTTTGGAGGAGCTGGCAACTGCTTTGGGGACAAGAAAAGATCTCTTAGAACAGAAAGTGGCGGAGAATAAATGTGATGAGACATCTGCAATGTTTAATATGATTTTAGACAGGAAGCGTCAGCAACAAGGTTTGCAAAAGATATATACTGAAATAGTCTTTTTCTGGCTTTATGACTTCTGACATGAGAAAACCAGTTTACTTATACATTATTGTTTGATCTTACAAATAATGATAAAGCTTGAAAAAATATAAAAACATATTGTTATATTGATAAACTTACATCAAACCTAGTTGGAAATGAGGCATTGTACACATTCCTCTTGAACTATTTTAAATTGATAGACAACCTATTTTGTTTATTGAAAATATGTATATTTTTTTATGAATGTCGCCTTATTTGTATGGGCTTTTGCTACCCACAACCAACACAAAAAAAAATTGGGTTAGCTATCAAACAAAATATGTAATGTACTTTGAAATACATTTGTACTTTAAAAATTAGACTAGTTGGTCTATTTAAAAAAAAAAAAAAATGTTTTGATGTTATGAGTTAAATATAAAAAGTTGTTTTTAATTTAACTAAATTAACCTTTAAAAAATTTCTTTGTTTCCTAATTCAGGAATTTATGATGTTGATCATACACTTAAAGGTGAAAAGAAGGAACCCAAAAAGAGATCAAAATCAGCACACACAACATCCAAGAAAGGTGGCGAGAAAAAGCATTTATCCAAAGTTTTTATGGGTTTTTTAAATCTAGCTCTTATGTTCTGCACTTATCTTATAATGTTCTCACTAATAAATGAGCATACTAATGTGACGATCCTCATGACTTACCAAAAATTTCTTTAATACCTTTTTTTGTTAAAAAAACATTAAAATTTCAAATTTACACTGATAAATTTTATCCCTTTTTTAACAGCGGGACCCCCAGCATTAGTTTTATCTACAGATGATTCAACAGATCCCACTCTACAAACTGGCATTGAGCCAGAAACAGAGACTAAGTTTAGCTCTTTTGACTTTCTTGCACTGTGCAGCACTCCAACATGGCTGGGCCCAGAGCGACGAAAGTCTAGGAGGCGTTCCAGGTCACCCATGCCTTCCCCCCATATTCAGCAGCATGGGACCCAGGGTGTAAGTTTGATAACATTTATTTGCTTTTTTAAAGCTATTTTGAAAGAATGGAGAGAAAAATTAAAGTTGATTTTATTTTATATTGATTGGAACAAAAATCATCTTCCTGCAGTTTTTCTCAATCGCAACATGTTAATAGTATTCTTACTATAAGCTATTAATAAAATAGCAATACAAAGAATAACACGAGGAATGATCACTGAAAGCAAACGTTTTATTATTTTTTTTACTGAAATAAACAATTTAAAAAATGAAACCAGCTAATAAATTCTTTATTACAATGCTAATATCTTATCCCCTGATTAAATTAAAAAGGACATTGAGAGCCACGTCATAGAAAACTAACATAATATTCATTTTCCAAATGGTTAAACTCAGAAAATAATTATAAAACAATAAGAATTCATTTAGAATTGTTAATAAATAAAAAACAATATTTAAGATTCAGCACAAATTTATAAGCCTTCCCAAATTTTAATTTTTTTGTAACCGTTCAGCTTTACTGATACCTTTTTTAAAATCCCTTTTTAAGAGGTATAAACAATAACATCATTTTTTAGAATTTTCTTTCATTAATAAATAATCATTTATTATGCTCTCTTATGACTAAATGATAAAGAAATAATATTTATGCCTCTTAAGCTCACCTGGAATATAATTGTTTTAATCTGTTCCTTTAAAGTGTTAGTCTCAGGTCATAATGCAAATCTCATAGATCTATCTCAAAACTTTAAACTTCAGGGTTCCAATGTCATGAAAGTAAAATGAAAGGTCAGTGGAGAACAGCTGAACATTTAATATTTCATACATTTATTTTCTAATCAAACAGTTATCAGTGAGAAACCAAATGAAGCGGGTACGGTATAAACATCTTGTCTCTTTTCAAACACAGTTTGTCTTATTCTCTTATTATTATTATTATTATTATTATTACTCTTGCATTCTTGAATGTGCAAAGTTTATTCTCTTTTATTGTGAATATATAAATTCAAGTACTTTCCCCAATCTCTAATTCTTTTTATATGTATCTATTTATCCAGTTGTAATCATATATCCAAATAACTAGTGTGTACTTGTTATACTGCCTACTAATACAGCTTTTATATTACTCTTTACTCCCTTGCAGAGTAACATCCAAACTTGTTTCTGCACTTTATTTTCAAAGATAAGCCTTTGCAAACAGCTGTAATACTTGCGATAATGCTAGCATGTATAGGTTTAGGTGTACAACCTTTTCTTAATCATAACTCATGCGCTATGCTTTTTTTTTTCAGTTATCAACATCCATAAAGAAATAAAATAAATATGTTTTTTTCAATACCTGGATATTGAACAATTGCTTTATTTATTTAAATTCAACTTTTGTCTTTTAAACTGTGATAGCATTTAAAAGAATTGAACAGTTTTTTCTCTATATATGCATTCGTCTTTTCTTGTTTAGTAAAGTATAGCATTTTTTTGTCTAGCTCTCAAGTAAATTCAAGGTTTTTTTTCAGAACAAGGGAATAATTGCTTGATTACAATAAGGCTAGAAACATGCATGAGTTCAAGGAGATATTTTATTCAGCTGTAGTACTCCTTTTGTATTTGTTTTGCTGCCTGAAAAGATCATATTTTATGAATGGCATCAGCGCTTTCTAGTGATCTCACTACTAGGCGCAAAGGCAGTGCTAAATATTATGCTTAGCCATCAGGCTCCTAGGATATGCACTTAATTTGACCTATGAAATGTGCTGACATCATACTTTACATTATAGGAAACATAGTAATTTTAAAAAGATAACTTTTTATGTTACTTTCAACAAACTCTACTATAGCCTTCATCTCAAATTTTATTTATGCATTTTTTTGTCTACTAACTGAACCTTCTTCAAGGTTTACCAGCCAAAAACTGTGTAGACCAGAATCCCTGATTTCAAAATTATTTTTGAAAATGTATTTTTATTTTACTTTTGACACATTCTTTTCAAGATTAAAAAAATGCATCATCAGTGCCTTTATCATTTTGAATCGACAAAGATATTCATTACCTCAAGGATTGTCTGATATGTTTTCAGGAAAAAAATAGTATTTAATAGCTTAAAATGGTTTTAAACTTTAATACAGATTAAATTTTCTGGAGATTCAAAGTTACCATCTTTAGCTTTGTTTCATCCCTCTTAACTTGCATGTCACCTGCACTGTATGAATATTATCCCACATATGACATGTGAGGTCATCAGTAAATAAGATATTTGAAGAAAGATGTTAGACACAAAAGAATTTAACATGAAATGTAAAAACTCATCAGTCGATTTTATAGTCAATTTTCATTTTCATTTTTAATTTTTTTTTTAGAGAACTATCTTACTTTATATATTTTAATGGATACTGAAGACCTCTAAGTCTAATTTGTATAATATGTGTTTGATGTTAGAATTTAGAAAAGTAAAGAAAAAATATATCTAAGCCCTATATCACTCTTCAAACTTTTAAAATTATATTTTTTTAATCAATCATATTTAAGCATACAACCTGGTCTACCTAAATACATATTTACTTTGAGGCAGTTTTAATCAAATTCCTTGAATAAAAACATTAAAAATATAAAAACATGTATTTGACTAGTATTTACTGAACTGTATTGAATTTCTATCAAGTGATGTTAAAACAAAAATTGCAGCATGAACTAAAATGAACCATGGCTCAGAAAGTTCAACTAATTTTTTTTTTTTTTTGCTGTGAGGTCAGTGTTTAACATTGTAAATTTGTGATACCATTTCATTTTTAATTGTTTTAAAATAATAATTCTAGCAATTTTTACATGCATGCATAATTTTTCGCTATCTGCTTCTTGGTTATGTTGATCTTACATAACTAACAAGAAGGCAGGCCTACCATAAGAACTGTAACCTACTATTTTATATAAAATAAATGGAAGTAACTTAAGCAGATTAAAAAAAAAAAAATTTTCTCCTCCTTAAATAACAAGAAAACTAAACAAAAAGAGCTTACTTTATTTAAAGAGTTTCACTGTTCACTCTATTAATTTTTGTTTACATAGGATTATTTTCAATTATTATTTTTATATTTAAGTTTCATTTAAAAACTTTGTTTACACATGCTATAATTATTTACTTTTCTCACATTGGCTCAGTCAAATCTTATAATCAATTGCACTGCACATCTTTTGATTTTGATATTTTTATGATAATAAAATGGGGATGTTCCAACATTACTTAATTGAAAATCAGTTTCAATTTATATATATATATATATATATATATATATATATATATATATATATAATAATTATGTCTATGTTAATTTAATTTTTTTAATACTTAAAGAAAAAATATTTAAAAAATATTATAATTATATATATATTATAAAAAAAAATGTATATTTAAAAAATATATTTAAAAAAAACTGTTTATATATATATATATATATATATATATATATATATATATATATATATATATAATCATTATGTCTATGTTAATTTAATTTGCTTAATACTTAAAGAAAAAGTATTTAAAAAATATTATAAAATTATAATTTTTATTTAGAATATCTTGTATATTTCCTGATTATTATTAACGATTTATTTTTCTTATGTTTCTTTACAATATTTTGGAGAGGGAAAATCTCACTTAAGTGATGCAATACTTTTACAGAATTCAATTTCTTTTTAAAAAATTGTATTATATCCTCTAATATTAATCTGTGCATGCAATCTTATTTTATTTTCATCATTATACTTTTTGATGATTTATTTTCCTTCACATTAGTTAACTTCATTTCAAAGTGTTTTTCACAATCATTTTTGTTTTCCATGTCTTTTAACCTTTCATTTGATGAGCACATTAACATAGTCTCATTTCACAGGTTAGAAAAACATGTCACTTCTATAGCTTGCACCTAAATCACTGTTCTAAGTTTGCCTTCAGCACATTTTGATTTTATTTTTGGGATGAAGCAAACACAATTTTTTTTTTCTTTTTCCCTGGAGACAAGAGCTGTTAGATTTTATAAAACTGCCAAGTTTCTACACAAGAAGAAGCATAGCGAAATAATAATAAAAAGAGTTTTATTTATTTGGTATCAACATTAGTACATAATCTCTTCCATTACAACAGTGAACTGTTATTTTGTTTTTAAAAAAAAGGAATAATTAACCAGCGGAATAACCCCAGAAAGCATCTCACTAAAAAGTCTTTATCCACTGATTTTAATTTCATTTTTCACAAATTTGAAAAAATCTTTTGATTTGAATCCTAAATAAAATGGGATTTATCAAGTTTTTATATATTTGAGAGATGTTATGTCAATAAATTTTAAAAAAATGTTCTTATGCTGTAGGGTGCCTGTGAGAGATGGTGAACTACTTTGCAAATATTTTTACATCATGATAATTCCATGGCCTCGGGCCAAAGTGCACATGTCCAATTACCTTCTGGATCTCATTGATCATATAATGTAAATTTGCAGCCTTTTCTAAAAATTTGTACTGACAAATAAACATTGCTGGGAAAATTTCTTTTTCTTAAAGGAAACTCCA